AAAGCTTGACCGAAATGACAAAGAGTTCATCGGATGGGACCAAGTCAAGGATCGAGTCCAAGACCGACTCTAGGACCGAGTTCGAGATAGGGTCCGGAATCGAGTCCAAAACCGACTCGGGGACCGAGTTCGAGTCCGAGTTCGAGACCGAGTTCGAGACGGAGTCCGAGATCCGAAATCGGGTCCGAGACCGAGTCCGAGGTCGAGTCCGAGGTCGGATCCGAGATCGGGTCCGAGATCGAGTCCAAGATCGAGTCCGAAACCAAATCCGAAGTCGGATCTGAAATCGGGTCCGAGATCGAACCAGAGACTAAGTCCAAATACTAATACGGGTCAAGGGGTGAAAGCCCAAAGCGTGCGTCTCCCAGGGGGGGGGGGCTGCAGGGGGTTCCAAAAGTATAGTAGGGATAGTGAGGTCCAGGAACCAGTTTTGAAGGGACTCTCCAGTTGGGCTTCCAAACCGACTTGAGGTTGAGACTGGGACCGAGGGGCCTTGGGTGGGAGTGAGCATGGACTTGGCTGGTGCCGGAGGGGCCATCCAAGGAAGTGCTCAAGAGCAGCTCCCACTCCCGAAAGGGAAACCGACTGCAGTGCTCCCGGCTCAGGTGGAGTGGTGCCCCACTTGAGTACCTTGTGGCTCATTGGTCCTCGCCCTTCCGGGGGCTTGGGCCTTCCCTTTGGGATGGAAGAGGGGGGGTAGAGGTACCCATACCGGGCCGTTAGGCCACGGTGTTTCGCCCCGACGTCCCGAAGCAAGTGCTGCACCCAAGGCTTGGGATTTAAAGGGTCCCATGATCAAGTCTTGTGGTACCAAGGGGTGTTAGGAATCTGGAGGCTTGGTGTGCTTGGCTGCTTGTGCCTGCGGGGAGTGTAGCCGAACCTTAAGTCCAGTCTAACCCGGGGAGGGGGATTGGGAGAGATTTGGGAATCCGTAGATGGATGGCTAACACTCCGTTGCTCGTGTAGTAAGTAGCTGAAACCAAGTAGGAGCTGGTACCATAGGCGAGAACCTTGGCGAGGGAACTTAGCACAAGCCAAGGCAGAGTTGGTTGGATAGGCGAGGTAAGCTGGCAAATTGGAAAGGAAAAATTTGTGGCTTACAGGTGGCTACTGTGAAAGAAAGGTTCCCCTCTAGAGATATTGTTGGTGAGTTAGATCTAGCATCAGTTTTTGGAACTTCATGCATGCAAGTTACGTCATGCTTTGGTATTTGCAACACCACCCACATCCTCAACCACAATTTCAAATCTAGCTCCAAGACAACATCTGACTTTTTAGAGTGGGATCTTTTAGCCACCCTCCACTCTTTCTCGGGTCCCACAAGAGGTTCTTGCTCAAATTGTTGGCATTTTAGTCTTGATCACATTTGATAAACTTTTGTGATGTGTACCCATTTTTACTTTTCAGCTGAAGGCTTTTGCCAAGTCCACTGACATCCTCATGGAACCTTAGCATGATATATATATCATCAACACACTCATGATCATGGAACATTCTTTGTGAAAGTCTAGATTGGAACCTTAGCATGATATATAATCATCAACACACTTATTATCATGGAGCATTCTTTGTGAAAGTCTAGATTGGCAATAAATCCTTGACAGCATAAGCATTATTTGATTCTAGATCCCAGAGCAACATCATCTCCCTTGACTTGGCATACTCCAGTGGCTTGGAAATGGTTGGCAATACAACTGTCATCCTCAAAACATTTGTTAATCACTCACTATGTCCTGCAAGCATTTGCTACAATGTCAAGATCTTGGTGCAAGGAGTGGTTTCCATGCTAGATTTTCTTGTAATGGACTACCAGCAGCTCAGATCTAGGAAATTGAAGGACTCCATCATCCTAGGACGGCCATGGCATCTTGTTGCTACTTGCACAACAACTTAGGCCAAAGGAGAATCAACAATCACCTATAGTGTCTATACAATGACCCTTCTTAATGCCTATGGTCATTTTTTACTTCCATCCAGCTTGTCTCAAGTGGATGCTTCTTCCATCACTAAAGTTGACTAGGCTCTCAAAGTTCTTTTCCCAGAACTTATCGAAGATGACATATTGCTGAAGATCTAAATTATTGAGTGCAATACAATATGGAGTGGACTACATTAACACTTAACTTCTCTACCATCATTACACAAGTCCAAAGATCCCTTGGCTTCAACAAATCTAGGGATTTCACATCAATTCCTTTGCTCTAGCACAATGAAGAATTTGCCCAAGTGGTGGTTCTTCCAAACAATTTTCCAACTCTAGCACTATTTGAGAAGTCATAGGGGACCCCTACCGAGGATCTGTTAACACCAACACAAATTTTAGATGCATTGCATGTGAGCTTGGACATTGACAACCATGAGATATGAGTTTGCGACATACTTGTTGCTGTGATATGACAAATTATATAAATTTTAACAAGACAGACATCCAAAAAAGCTTCCCTCATAGAAAACAATGAGTGTGGGATTGTGGGGTATGTTACAAGTTAAATACTTGTTGACCATTTCTAGAGTTTAAATGTGGAATATTTAAATTTTATATTCTAAGATTCTATTATTGGTAAAAAATTATTCCTATAATATCCAGGCATAACTATTTAATCATAATTGTAAGTAAGATTTATTTATCCATTAACTTTCTTCTAAACTTTAGATTATAGAAAAAAGCTGAAGTACTCTTGAAACAATCAAGAAATTAAAAGTAAAATATATTCTCATTCACATATTGCTTCCGAAGTAGTGCATGTGTTTTGTGATTGATGTGGCTTTTATAAGCAAAATATGATAAAATACCAGTCTTCAGCCAGATGCCATATTGATGCCTATATGACACATAATATTCACTGTCTCAGGGGGTTAATGAAAGAAATGCTTTTGCTCAAGGCACAAACCAATAGGTCCCACTGAAATGATAAGTTGTTCAAACCATTGATAAGAAAATGCTTAAATCTCCCATAGGTCACAAAAATTCACCACCAAGAAATGTTATATCCTTACCATCCTAGAATATGCCTGATTATATCATTGGATGGTTTGTGAGAAGCTAAACTACAAAATTAATTTAAATATCGTAACTATCTAAAGATTATTCTAAGAATATTCTAAGCTGCTTTCCATCAATGTATCTTACATATTTTGAATCCTGTTGTGCCTCATAGGATGAAAACATATTAATGAAAAAAACATTAATATTCATGTATGAAAGATAACTCCAAAAAGTAAGCATGACATTCAAGCAAAGTGTTATTATCTTATACCAAAAGAAATAGAATAATTTTACTCTTAGAATTTTATTGGAACTAAACCTTTATAAAAATAAATCTCAAGATGGCTAAACATGGATATGGTTGCTTTCCTAGTGCACACAATCACTTCCTCTCGCGACACGCCGGCACAGAACCTGGAACTTCGACACGAAGAATGTGGTGATTCTTGTCATCTACAATAGCTGCCTTGAGACGTTTGCTCGTGGCTGAAAAGAAATTAGTAGAGGTAAAAGAAAAAAAAACCAAAATACTTGTGTCCAGCTCGGCCTCGTCACGGTCCTCAATTGGCACTGTCAAGGTTGTCCCTTCGAGCGCAGCGGCCCCCTTGGGAAGGCGAATGGTGAGAATCTCATCCTGCAGATTAGCTATTAAACCGTCGACGTTGGCGTAAGGAGGAACGGCAAGCTTCTCGGGGCGGTAAACGTCCATCTCCGTGGAAACAAGCACACCCCGTCCATGTTTTTCAACATGCACTTGATCCAGCGACGAGAGACCTGTACAGTAGTACGCAAGAGAAAAAAAAAACATGAGATAACGTTGTCTGCAGTTGACTTACCCGGCACTTGCACATCGACAGTGTAGAACTGCTGGTTCTCGAAGGACGACCACAATAGCTTGCGCTTGTCATATCCTGAACGCCACAGAGAAAAAGAAATAAAAAAACTCCAGGCGGGATCAAAGCCATACCTTTATCAATGTGCTTGAGGCAGTTTAGCAGCAGCTGGTAAGCATGCTTCTTCTCAAAGTTGTAGAGAGCAACTAGACCGCCGTGATCAGGGAACTGAGGCAGCCCCCCGGCATCAGCCACCTCCTGCGCCAACTCGAGGCCCCTGCCACACTTTGTCAAGGAAGCGTTGGAGAAGAAATCAGTGCATGGAACGACTGGTGTAGCATATGAGCTAGATTGCTCCTCGATCAGAATGGTGAGGTTTCTGGACTGCAGACCTAAGAACCTGGTCCAGCACTCAGCGCCAAACAGACGCGCCTGCTCCTGCAACTCGTGCACGTTTGGCTCCCCGGAGAAAACTTCCTTCTCGGCTCGGCAGGCAAGAGTCCGGCAAAAGTCGTGGACGAGGCGTGTTTCTTCACGTGTGCAGTAATGTAGGGGGGGCTCTCCACGCGAGTCCCGCTTTGCATCCTCCCAGACGTCGTCCACGAGCTTGATCATGTGTGTATATGGGACGGGGTAGTCGCCTATGTCGTCAAACCCGAGTGGTTTTTCAAGACGGGGGAATTGGCCGCCCACAATTTCGGTGTACTTGAGGCTGTGATGCAGGAGATACCCCTCGAAGCAGTCGGTGGTAAGATCAGAGTTGCCCAGCACCTTAAAGGCTTGGCCGAGGACACGGTTGTCTAGGCGGAGCATCAGCATCCACAGAAACTCTCCAAACTCTTTGTAGGCTTCTAGGGTCGGTGGTTTGCTCACCTGAGACAGCTTCCTGCATTCGCTGCGGATTCTCGTGCTTGCTGTGAGGATGCCGCTCCTACTCCTAGTCGCGCTTATCATCCGCATCAACATTTTCAAGGGTTTGGCGTTCTTTGCTGGGTTTTGGGTTTTAGTATAGGCGCGAGCGATGGCATCCAGCTCCAGCACCTGCCTGGCCCTGGTCCGCAGCACGCGCAATTCGACTTGCGCCTCGTTGCTATCCCCGGGCTGCCTGGAAGAATGAGGTATGGGCATAATCTGGAGGATGAATCGTTCGTGGTTTACTTGCTCTACGAGACGTGCGTATCATGGGTGAGTTTTTGCTCATAGAGCGATACCAAGATGGTGGAAACCAGAGAACAGCCGGAACAGAGTGTGTCCGCCGCCCACCTCTCCGCCTGGCGGTGGAGTCTTTTTACTCTCGCGAGGAGAGTGGGGCCTGCTGTTTCGAGATGATGTATTGGGAACGCTCCAACTTACAGAAAGGAGGTTATTTTAACAATCTCTTCAAGAACACCGCCCGCTTTTGGACGCTGGCCAGCTACCGAGAAACTGAAACGTTTTGGTGAAGATTGACGTGAAGTTATTCGTTTTCTCTCCTCTCAGTTTGCAAGTCTTCATTCTTTTTTATTCTGAAAACTCAGACGACAAAGATTAAGACCTTTCGAAAGGGGAGGACGAGTTTATGAGGAGTACTCCCACGCTCTCCAACACGAGCTGAAAAACTCGAGCGCCTCCAAAACATTCGCTGGGTCAGCATCTGCTACTTCTACCGGAGACGAATACTTGCCCGTGGACGTGGACATGAACCTGCTTAAGAACTTGCTCGACTCGTACTCATCGCAGCAGGACCAGTCTGGGAATGATGGGAATGGACGACAAGGAGGAGCATAACGTATGACGCGGAGGAAGTGACGTGACGAACCGCGTCGAGTTGGACGAGACAGACACGGACAAAGCTTCCCTCGTAGAAACCAACGAGTGGGACCGTGGAGTGTGCTCGGCTCATGGACTCCACAGCTCGTTACAACTTAAGACCACGCGTTCGGACGAGAATGCTGCTCTTGCGGGATCCGAGAATTATATATTTCAGTTACCAGGTATTCATATTTGTTTTCTTGCCTCACTTTCAGAATTCTTCTCCCAGATCTTGGAAACAGCACAGGTAAGGCATGTTTAATCGTTTTTTTTTTTTAAATTTAGATTTTAACATTGCGGTTTGGATCGCAGAAAATGTCGGGTATTTGAGAAGCTCGATCATGTGTTTCCACGGTTCCAAAGTCGAGGATCTAGAAAAGCAACTAGATCACGAGGCAGTGAAGTCCCCAGAGCTACCAAATGAAGCAGCAAACCAACAAACCGAGGGAGATGGAGAAGCGGCCAAAGAGGACTGCGGGAGCGGCCTCCCCGTCGCTCACAGAGCTCCGTGGCTGCGGGCTCTCGTCCTTGGCGCCAACGATGGCCTGGTCTCGATAGCATCGCTCCTTCTGGGCGTGAGTGCCGGGAACAGTAACGAGCGCAGCATCATCCTCTCGGGCATCGCGGGCCTCATCGCCGGCGCGTGCAGCATGGCGGTGGGAGAGTTCGTGTCGGTGTCCTCGCAGCGCGACACCGAGGTGGCCGAGATAGAGAGGGAGCGGCGGCAGCACGCCGCCGGGGGTGACGCGGCGGCACGGGAGCTAGAGGAGTTGGCCCAGATATACGTGACGCGCGGACTGACGCCTGAGCTGGCGAGAGAGGTGGCTGCGCAGCTATCCCGCGACGGCCAGGACGTGGTTAAAGTCCATGCGAGGGAGGAGCTGGGCATCGACGTGGACGCGCTGGCGCGACCGTGGCAGGCGGCTGCGGTGTCGGCGGCGGCGTTTACCACCGGCGGCGCTGTGCCGCTGCTTGCCGCGGGGTTCGTGGAGGCGTACCGCTGGCGGCTGGCGGCTATCGGGTTGTCGACAAGCATGGGACTGGCGGCATTTGGGGCATGCGGGGCGAGGCTTGGGAAGGCGCCCATCCTCGCCGCCTCGACGCGCGTCACGGTTGGCGGTTGGATCGCAATGCTTGCCACCTTTGGGATTCTCTACTTGGTCTCTAGAAACCATCAAAAGGGTGATCTAGACTTTTCTTAACTACTGTAAGATATCATTGCCATTGGCTCGAAAAAGGTATATATTATATGTTAAAAATATTTTAATGAAATAAATACCTAAAGTAGAAGAAAACTTACTTTTAACTTTGACTTTTTTATTAAAACGTATTGACTCAAAATAGTCTCAAAACACTAAGTTATATTCTTCTTATCAGGTAGCAAAGTTGTTTATAATGCAACTTTCAAAGAATCTCTTGCTATAGCCTATAGCTGTTCCGGATTCTCTTGCTATAGATTAGATTCTTTTTAATGAGATTCTGTTATGTTTACGGCTTAGCAAAATTTCTTTTGATTAAATTCGCGGTTGTTTTCTAGCTTATCACCTGAGGAGCTCCACGAAGACAAAGACGTTCCACAGGCTATGGAGCAGCATAGACGAGAGGAGATTCCTGTTCCTCACAAACACCACCCCCATCACAAGACCCAGGAAAGTGAGCGGCAGGAGGCGCTGGGGGCTGAAGTGCGCCAGTGCGAAGGCGAGCGCGGAGATGGCGATGGACGCCCACAGAGGCAGATAGCGCGTGAGCGATGGCAGCAAAAACCCCCGGAAGAGCACCTCCTCCCACACCGGCGCACACACAGACACCACCACCGCGTAGAGGAGGGTGGCGATGGGATCCCTGGCGGAGATGGACTGCTCCACGCTCGAGGCCGTGAATGGCGATGGCAGCGGCAGGAGATCGAGGTTGAGCTGCGAGAGGCAATTGACGAGCGGGAAGATGAGGCAGCCGAGGCAGGCCTCGACGTACCACTGTCCCTGCCAACTTACCGGGAACCAGTCCTTGGAGAGGGGATGAAACTCGGCGAGGCAGCGATGGAGGATTCCCAGCCCGACGGTGCCTTCGGCGATGTCCGTGACGAGGCTGTAGAGCGCTTGGCCGCGGTATGTGAGCGAGTCTTTGCTGTAGCCCAGAGCGTGAGCGGCGATGGGGATGAACCACGAGCCGACCAGCCAGAAGGCTCCAAACCACAAGAACATCACCTGAAAGAACGAGATACCAGCTTTTAGTTCTGAGATCGATGATAAGTTGTCAAAGAAAATGGAAAAAAGAAAGTTGGATGACACTAGAAGAGAAAGCTCGAGAGCTCGAGCTAAAGAGCGCTCAATGGAAAAGATTGATTGTTTTTACCTGGAATATGGTGTGCCCTGTCCAGGGGACTGCCCAGGCCTTGTCTTTGTGGGAGCGGTTTAGAAGGAGCTGGAGAAAATCGACCTGTGGAAAAGAAGAAAGCTCATAGCTCGCGATGAATGAGAAAGAAAGAAAAAGAAAAATGGAGTGTGAGAATGTAACGAGACCTTGCCTTCCGCAGTCTCATCCACCAGGAGAGCTCTGGAGACGACGACGATGGCGATGGATCGCCCGGCTCGCCCTTGTACTGGTCGTCATCGCCGCTGCCCTCGCTTTGCGACGAGAAGGAACACGGGAGTAGGAACTCCCACTGGCAGAAAGGATCCAAGCCCGGCTTGAGAAAGAATTTCGGAAAATGCGAGCGATTACCTGTGTGGAGGATCGCTCCCTGACGAGCAATCGCTTCCAGCCGCGCGTTCTTCTCCCCGGCACGGCCAAGCTAGGTCTTGGCCTCGAGGAAACTAGCAGCGGTTGCCCAAATCCAATGCCCCGAGCTCCACTCTGCGCCAATGCAGCCATGAGAAAATCTTCCCTAGACGGGCATCATCGATCATCACATTGCTCCGCCATAGCGCTCTTCCATCTTGCCCTATAGTTTCAAAAGAAACCTCACTCTTTTATTATTCCAATGATACGTATAGATAGTTTTACACACCATCTTGGAGCTGTGATCCTACGCGCTATATTCTCTCTTTTGATCTGTCGTCTCGTGGTTGTTAGTAGAGAGCTCGCTCGTCCCAAAACTTCCTCTTTTTTTCTTTCTTTCTTGCTGTTCTTGGTGATCTTGGCATGGAGAAAACTTAACTTAGACCGCTCTTTCCTTTGCACTCGCATACTCGACGCTGCTCACTGGGACTCCATCCACTCGCAGAGACGATGGAAATCCATTCGCTGGCTTGGACGTGGAGAGGCCGTCTGGGAGGAGGAGCTCCTCCGCCGGCTCCTCCGGGACAGGCGCGTCGCGGGGTTTCATGCTGCGCTTCTCGGAGGAATCGAGATTCGCAAACTCCTCGAACTCTCCGATTGAGCGGTACTTGTTGTGGCGTTGCTTCAATAGGGACTGAGTATCCATCTTCAGCAGGTCCTGCAAACACGACGACATTTATATCTCGAAACGGAAGACGTTCATCCATACCTCCATGTGTCTAAGCAAAACTTTCTTTATGTTTTTCGAGGCGGTTTCGGGATCGTACTGTGCGCCTCCAAGCGGCTCCTGCAAAACCGATGATCTCTGTTAGCAAACAGAGAAGAAAACAGGCTTTGGTTACTGGAATTATTTCGTCCACAATCTTAAGCTCCTTAAGGTCGGTTGGCGTAATTTTCAGAGCATCTGCTGCCTGGAGACAAAATCGAATCTCGTCAAAATTTGCGCACCAGATGAAGACTTCCGCATTACCTTTGGTGCAGCTTCAGCGGACTTCCAAAGAATCGCAGCACACGCTTCAGGGCTGTACGAGGAAGGGAAAAGTTAGAAACCGGAAGAGGTCCCAGAAAGTGTACAAACCTGGCCACGTAATAGACGGAGTTTTCCATCATAAGCATCTTGTTGCCGCATCCAATTGCTAGTGCACCACCAGAGCCACCTTCTCCAATGACGGTTGTTATAATTGGAACCTTCAAGCCAAACATTTCTCTGAGGTTCATAGCAATTGCCTCTCCCTAGCAAAGATAAAAGAGGGAAGTCAGAAAACAAGAACACAAAACAAAGTTTCTTACTTGACCAGTTTCCTCGGCCTCAAGACCGGCATAAGCACCTGGAGTGTCCACAAATGTCAAAATAGGAAATCCATGGTGCGCTGCATGCTTCATCATCCTCAAAGCCTTACGGTATCTGGAAAAAGAACCACGGCATATAACTTTCTGCAAGTGAAAGAACGCTATACATACCCCCAAGGTTGAGGCATGGCGAAGTTCCGATACAAGTTCTCCTTGGTGTTCCGTCCCTTCTGGTGTCCAATAAACATAAAGCTCATGCCTTCCATTTTCCCGATCCCTGTAACTATAGCCGCATCGTCGTGACCAGCACGATCACCGTGAAGCTCCAGCCACTGAAACACGAAGTTCAAAGGCTAAGAAGATGAAGGCTTCGAAAAAAATGGAAAAGAAGTCCACGGCCGTTGTGTTACCTTGTCAGTCATATTTAAAACATGATCGTAGAATGTAGGACGGTTCGGATGACGTGCTAGATTCAATCGCTGGACCGGTGTCAAATTCTTGTAAAGATCTTGCCGGACCTGCCAACAAAAACAAAACTTAGCAGGAACTAAAAACTCGTCGGACCAACCTGGTGGTATTTTTGCTCGAGCTCTTCGATTTGGCCGCTAAAATCCACGCCAGTCTTATTGGCAAGATCTCGCACCTGATATCGAGAAAACTAAAGGTCATTAGAGCCAAAGATCACACACGAGCACAGAAAAACACGGCATGCAAGCAAAGAGAACAAGCGAGGATGGAACCAAAACTTTTTGCTAGCTCTAGATGGAGTGTAAGATCATACCTCTTCGATTCTAGCTTCGAGATCGATGATAGGTTTCTCGAACGGGAGCGTCACGGGCTTGGGCTTGACCGGCAGGGGCTTGTATCGGCACAGGAGATTGAGCGCATCCTTTTGCATGTCCTTGGTGATCTTCTTGGGCCACGGATAGCTCCATTCCTCGGGCCCCTTCTTCTTGGATTGGACGACGAGAGCGCCGGAGCGGCCGGAGGAAGAGGCGATGGAGGAGCCAGACCTGGGCCTTGCGCTCCGGAAATCTCCGTGCTGGAAATTGAGACCTACCCTTGCCGCCGACAGCGACGCCCCGGGAGCGCAATCCATCGCTCGATCCCCTCGCCCGCGGCGCTGATTGAGAAGCTAGATCGGGAGAAATGTGAGATCCGCGCGGAGGGAGTGGAGGAGAGGAGAAATCCCGGCGGGGGGGCGGAGGACGAGCTCTCCTGGCGAACAAACAAAGGCCGTGGATATAAAACCCGGCCACTAAATAATCGCGATTAGCTCTTAAGCAATGGGACATCCATGGGCATGCGCATGAGGCCATGGATGGGCATGGGCCGGAGCTTACGATGGTCTCACATCGTCCATGTGGGAAGGAGGGTCCGGAATACTTGGGAGCCAATGGTATCGCAGCGCGTGGTGTCACCTAGAGCCGTCGATTCTCTGGTTGTTGGAAAGCTATGACGATGGCATCATATGTTTACATACATGTACACCTTCAATTGGAGTGGTACATTATTTTTCTATACAGAATATGCAAGTAGATTCTATTCTTCTTGTCACCTATTCTATTTTAGGTGGCTGACGCTCATGAGCTCCTCTTGAGGGTTTCACCTTGTTTACCTGAGACATTAACTTCAAAGCTTTTGATTCACAAAATGCTGTGCTCAATGCACACTAGCTTTGGTGGATCACTCCAGAGCTTTGACCCGAGCGCAAGTGTTAAGAATGATCCTGAGAGTGAGATAGAATGTCGGCCTTGCAGCGCTGGTACCTAACAAAGAATCTGGCAGTTTTGGTGGATCTATGGTACTTCACCATGGAAAGAAAGTTTTCTTGGTGGCAGTGTGTCATAAATTTTGGGAGCTTTTATAATTCTGTATAGCTTGCAAAACAGATAACATGTTTTTAGAATGGTAGGAAAACTAGTTGGTCTTTGGTTTGGTTCTTTCATTATTTAAAAAAGTTGGCTTCCTTAGTCATAACACAAATACTAGCAAAGTTCATTATCTAGAGTTCAATCTTCTTAGCCATTCAACTTGCTCTTTATTGTGGAAGGGACAATGTTGATGTAAAAGAGATTGAACAAAACAAGTGTTTTATGGTAGCATACTTTGAATCCATTGGTTTCATTCTTCTAATTGGGGGCATTGTGAATAATATAAAAATGAATAAATGAATGAACCTCTTGGGAAGAAACAATACATAGAAATTGTTAAATTCCATTGTTGTCAAAACAAATTTATGCACATTGCATGCAGTAATGCTTAATAGTAGTGTGATTCCTATTTATTAATTAAATTGATCATGGAAATTTATAAACACAAGAATAATTTTCAAATATAGTAAAACTATATATGCCTATTAATTAGAACTATAAATTTATTTTACTGTCTCACAGCATGCAACTAAAAAGACAAAGAAATTCAGCTCAAAAAACTCTAAACCATCAAGCCTACCTAATTGAAATCCTCTACTTTCTCATTTTTATATTTTATATTCATTCTATTATATAAAATGATTTGTTATATAACTCTTGAGCTGCAGTGGTCAGCCATATGCCTTCTTGCCTATTTGATGAGCTGAAGAAGAATTGGTAATCCTTGTAGCCAACCTGTGAAGGAAAAGCCCATGCTCGTCAAAATTTGGTCAAAAGGAAGGGTAGAAATCTCTTGAAAGAAAGTTGACTGGAGAGTGATGAGGTTTTGCTCCAGAATGATTGTCTGCTCTGAACAAGGCTGTAGAGACGTTCCACAACTCAGCTGGGCTTTGGAGCCATGGTATGTGGCCCAGATCATATCTTAGACAAACAAACTTGGAGTGGCTCTTTCTCTTGCTTGATAAGTTCCTCTATCTATTGAAATACTTAGCTCATACATTTTATATCCAGGTATGAGCCCGCAGTGAGGACGAAATCCTAAGTGCTCATTGGCTGACTGAGGTGAAACATGAATTTGACATGTGTCCAGTGGCATCTTGCACTAGAGGACACTGCAGACTTGACAACTAAGAACATATGTTTTTTATCTGCCCTTTTTTATTCTTGCAAATGTGTATGCAGAATGAGGTTGCCTTTCTTTTAGAACATCAAGACATAAACTATGCAAACTTGGTAGGTCTAAATTATAAAAAGGGAAATTCCTCAGCAAAACACCTCTCTTTTTTGTAAAACCTTTTTTGAATTAAGAAAACTAGTTATTAAGTAAAAGAATACAACCTTTAAATACAAAAGTAGGCTTTCATAAAAGATATAATATTTAGCTTGCCAATATATCTCAAGTTCTTATTTTCGTCTCAAACCATATGTCATATTCCAATCTATTGCCTCTTATTATTTTGCATTTACATGCAATAATATAAGTGTGTTGAGAGTCTTTAAGTAAAGATTAGCACAAGTTATCCACTAACTTTCATCCTTTTCTTATTGGATGAAATAACTAGTACATAATCTTTAGATTTCTTAGGATCAACAAGGGAATTCACCTATAAAAGAAAGAATGTAAATGTATATTAAATGACAAAGAGGAAGGAATTTTTCTGAAAAGTTATAGAGCCTTCTTTTGTAAACTTATTAAATTTTCTGGTTTTATCAGAAAATTTATAATTGATTAGGCATTTATATATATATATATATATATATATATATATATATATATATATATATATATATATATATATATATATAAAACTGATGTTTTTAGAATAAGTTTTTAACTTATTATTTTCTATATTTCTTTTCAAGAGCCTAAATGGTTTTTCAATTTATGCTCTTGGAGTAACCTCAAAGTAGTTTTTTAAAGAATATTTTAATTGATGTTTGGGTATACCATTTTTCTTGCCACTCTAAGCTGTTTTACTAAAATAAACTTATGTTTAGATCTTTCTATTACATAATATTAGGGAAAAAGATATTTGAAAATATTATTTATATAATGGAATATCTAAATATTTGAATAAAGTAAAATATTTAAACTAAACTATTTTAAACTATTTTATTTTTGTATAGGTTTTTTGCATATCTAAATTTCTACAATTGTTTCCTGTAGTAATTATGATAATGTATTTTACAAAATAGTATTTTTTTATTATTTGAAATTTTTTGCATTTTTTTTACTGATATATGGAAATAACATATAAACTAACCTAATACTAAAACTTCTTGAAGTGAGTGAGTATTAAAATTGCTGTTGTTGAAAATTTAATGTAACATTATAGGTGAGAGTAGCATATGTTATTAATAATTTTGTGTGGAAAAATGTAAAGAAGATATTTTTATAAATATGTCTATATCTCTATTTTCTATTATCATTTTGTGTTTTTTATATGCTAAAGAAAATAGACAACACTAACATCAAGCTAATGACAAACTCATATAATACTAAAAGTCATAAGCAAAAATTGGTGATAAATTTAAAATAGTTATTATAATTTAAATTGTTAAACTTACTCAAAAATATCACTTAATAAATTTATGTAGTTTCTTTTATTATTTTTACTTTTCTCAATTATAAATTTATACAGGTTATTAATCTTTGAGAAGTATTATAAATCCTAGTTATCAAATTTTGTAAAGATATTCTAACTTTCTATATTTAGATATGTAGATATTTAGTTATTTTATGGTAATTTAAATTTAAGTTTATAATGCATACAAATAACAAATTTTAAGTTTAACTAGTTTGCTCAATGTTTGGCTTAAACATTTATTATAAATTCCCAATGAAATTTAATATCACTCTTGATTATTTTGTGCAAAAACTTAAGTTTGCTTTCACACAATATCTTGATATTATGACATAAAGTTGAAAGTAAATAATCTAAATTTAAAAAAAGAGTAATAGTGGAATATGATTGAAATGATTGTTATAGTAAATAATTTTAAAAAAACAATGGTATACATTAATTATGGATGTGTAATTCTTTTAATGTCATGATAAATTGTAAGATAGTTTAGAAATTCACGAAGTTATTTGTATGTAGGATTGAATTAAATTTCATAACGTCATATAATTCACATTATGTACATCCTGCAAGAACGTCCCCACTAAAACTTGATGACAATTTAAGCTGCTCAAGAAGAACTCCAAGAGCCCATGCCGATCGGGCTCTTACAATCTGGCTGGGCGAATTTTCGACAGCTCGCATTAGCAGTGTCACTACCTGATTGATCGAGCATAAAAGAAGAATAGTAAGCGAACTTTTACTTTTTCCCAAGTTTTCAAGCATTACCTGTGGCACGTAAATCGAGGAGGATCTTTGATCTTCGAGCTGTGACAACATAAAGGCTACAAACGAAACAGCGTTGGCTTGGACCCGCGGCCATGGCGAATCAAACGCCTGTGGAATCAAACGGGAGCTTTTCTTTTAGGAGTGAGCAACAGGGAAACCACGTCCTTACCTGGATTGCACAGGACAAGTATGTGTCCAATCTGTCTGAAAATCGAGTTATCAGATGTCTCGTTATTTCCTTCAAGAACGCGTCGTAATACAGCCTGCGGAAAGAGAAAAGGTTAGTTTAACTTTGAGGAGATCAAGATTCTACGAGCCTGTTGTCCGATTCCTTGCAGTCGAGTCTCGCCACATGTTTGAGCTCTTCAGCCTGAAGGAGAGGAGCGATTCTCTTGAATGTTGTCTGTGAAAAAGAACAACAGTGGAATGTAAATGAAAGAAACACTTCACTGGGATACCTTGCATGCTTGTCGGACAGATGAATCCTCGTCATTTATATGCAAAAGCACACGCGGGAGGATTGAGTGCATCTGTAACGAGCGCAGGAATAAGCCTTGCTCGGGTAAGGTTCAGCTTACTTGCTCCAGAAATGCATCCAGTTGCGATCCAGTGGCAAAAGCACTTAGCGTCCCAAGTGCACCAAACGATGCTGCTCTCATATGAACGCTCTCCCTCGTCTAACAACAATCTTTCAAGCATTGAACGAAACATGTATGTAACAAACCGAGTACCTGGAGAGATCTTAAACGTACACACAGGTTAAGCAAAACCGGAACCACTGTCTCTTCTGTTGTTATCTCGAGCACCTACGCGAAGGTAATTAGAACAAAATAAAGCGGAGAAAACCCGACTCTTACCAGTGGGAGACCTTGCACGGCGGCATACGATACAGATTCCACATCGTCGTCAATCAGAGTAACGATTACACCCAACACCTGCGGTGCGTATTGCGCCATATCGTCATGGGGAACCTGTCGAGGAGTACAAGAACAGCTTATTGAAAGAAAAAACAAGTACAGACACCTGAACAAGGCCTTCGACGCATAAGCGTCTTACTACAGGAGATTCATCTCCAATATGGCGACTCAAGACTCCAACAAGTTGTTCCAAAACGTCAGCGGTCCCCCTACTGCCCCACCATCCATAAAAATAAACTAGTTACAAGAAACAAAAGAGCCAAGAAACCTGGTTTTGACATATTCCGATAAAGCGGCGGCAGCTGCTATCCTTTGGAAAACGTAGTCTCTTTTGAGAACAGGCCACAGAAGATTGCAAATTGCACCAACCTGTAGAAAATGCTATGAGTCCAAAACAAAGAACTAAAGAAGCTCACTTTTTTCGGGTGTGTCAAAGCAACGCAATGCGCAATTTTTCCAACGGCTTTGATCCAGTATCCTTCAGTCAAGAGCTCGTCAATGCTGCTATCTACAACCTGCACAAAATACAAATCCGTAAAAATGGTTTATATGAGCACACAAAAAATCTCTTACATTCTCCATGTCCAAATCCCCAACAAATCTACAAAACGTTTTGAACGCAAGAATAATGTCCCTAGAATTGCAAGAATTAGTCACGTACAGCATCTTTTATGTCCTACCTTGACGCTTGCTTATCCAAACCAGTAGTGCCATGTGAGCCTCCAATTTGAAGCAAGAGCGCACAAAAAACTGTTGCATAACGTTGTTCAAGAGCTTTCCTGATGGGATCCCCTCCTACTCTGTTGAACAGCATCAATATTAAGCTAATGGTATACACCAGGCTTACCTGAAAGCTGTTGTCAGTGCCCGGACAGCAGCTATTGGAAAATAGTCGATGATATGAGGAGCATGCGAAGACTGCTCGTTCTTGTCCGTGTCGTCCTTCAGAACTGGAGTTTGATCCAGTACGGACACCAAATAGTCGAGAAATGGCAATGCCAAATCCACATGGTTCGCAAATGCCTGCTAGCGGTGTGAGAAGGCAAACATTGTAGAAAACTAAAGACTTACTTTAAAGGCTTCGTCTATCGGCCATGATCCTTTTTGTTTCAGTGAATCCTTAACTTGCGCCTCCCTGACTGCTGCAGCTAAAAGTTCACTCATAACTATTCTGGATTGCGTTTCTTGTGCTAGAGAACACACCTGCAGACAAAAAAAATTATCGCCGAAATGGAAAAATGTTGACTTACGGTTTCTAGCACTTTCTGACGCCTTCCAACCTCCGCAACAGATGTGGCAGCCTTAAACAGCGATTGTGTTATACTGTAAAAAAACTTTCATTAAAACCATGAAACAAATTGAATCTTACGTAGGAATATCGCGCTCGCCGAGTTGATTGCCTCTCTCCAGAATTAACTGTTTGACAGCAAAAGTAGCACCCTCCCCACATTGAGGGATTATATCACAGATAGCTGTGTTGCAATACTGCAAAGCAGACACATACTGCGGAAAAACCAAAAAAACAAAAGTTGGCGCAGGCAGGGGCAAAAAGCTTTACCTCGTCATTGGTCAAAAGGATGCTAACAGCGCCAACAATTTGCTGTAACGTTCCAGCCAACTCAGCAGTAGAATCCTATAAACATTGGTTAATATCTCAACCCAACAAAAGTCGACTTACCCATTTAGAAACAGCAATGAGCTCTTCTAGTGAGGATAATGCACCGAAAGAAACTTGCCTGCTTTCCATACTTGAGGAACCCCCAAGTTTTGGCAAAGTTAAAGCAATGCTGAAGAGAAGGTCAATAATCTGCAGACGGAATGTCAGTTTCCCTAATGCTTGCCTAGTTTCCATGCCTGAGCAGACGACTTTCGTATCAAGGAAGAAACATCCGCACAACGAGGTAAATACATCATCACTCTCTTTCCAAGAATCAAAGCGTCGCGTGAGGGAAGAAGAGGCGTACCTGAAACAACTTTGTAAAGTAAGCATAAAGATAGGAAAAGGTGACTACAACCTGCAGTACAGAATGTTCGGAACTCTCGCAATAGCGCAAGTACTGACATACAAGCTCTTTCTCTGTGGTGATCAACTTGTGAAGAGATGTATTGGTCAAGACTATTGAGCAAGTGATGAACTTGATCCGCTCTACTCTTCCCATCTTCCCCACTGCAAAACATCTTATTCTTTCGATCGTAAATTGTAATTTCTAGAAAACAGACCTGGTTCTTAGAATTACGCAAAGCAAGTTCGTTAAATCTGACAAAACAGAATCAACAACGGGTGCAGGTTCTGCTGGTAGCGTGTAGAACCTCAAAGTAGCCTGCACATTCTCATAAACAATTGCAGAAATCACCCAACAAAATTTTTATCACCTCAAGTATACGATCCCTTGATGCAGATGTCAACTTAGGCTCAACAGATACCAAGGTGGTGCATGCGTTTATCGCCAAGTTCTTGAGGATCCACAAAACAGAGTAAAAAACTAAAAATAAAAATGAAAAAATGGAACGTCCATCTCACCTGTGTTCGGAGTGAATCCGCTTCTAGTAAACTTTGTGTGGCAAGAACATAACTAGAAGTTTGGGACACCATTAACGTCATAACATAATCCAGCATTGTATCTCGCCTCTTCAAAGGGAATGGAACCCCATGGGCGCCAGCCTTTATAACAGCTTGGCCTGGAATACAAAACCAAATTTGTTTTCGTCAGGATTCGAAAAACGTTGTACCCAGCAGATTGATAGCCGTGATAACGGCTTGCTTAGCTGCGGCACTTTTCACATCAAGTAGCCTTGATAAAACATTTGTTCCCTTGAAAAGAGCTATTTAGTAAAACGAAGTGCGCTTTCAAAGATAAAAGTTACCACAAGCTTATCGATTCGAGCTTCAATAACGGTGGATGGAGCATAAGAAGCAGCATAACCGTACATCAAAGCTAATGCCGCATAGATATTGTCCACATCATTTTCTCTTTGAGCGAAGAAGGAAGCCAAGAACCTGCACAATGAAGTCCGTTAACGTAAACCTCGAATTGGACGTAGAATGACCTCGTGATTGTTCTTCTACTCTCCTTCTCAAGCACATCTTTCAGCTTTTCGAGAACGGTATCCAAATGAGAAGCTGCTACCTTTATCAGAACAAAGTCATCTACCATTTACAGACATGTCCACAGTACTTACCAGGCCCATTCCCATAGCTAGACCAAGCCTATTAGCTGTGTCTGCAACGTTGGATTGCCTATACATTGTGGCGATCTTTTCCCGGACAAAGCTTCTGTTATCAACTTTGGACAGAACCACACCAAGGCATCTACAGACATGCAACAGATGTTCAGAAAAGAAACTTAAAGAAAATTAATTACCTGTGCAAAAAGGCACAATGTTGATTATCTCCTTCGTATAAACAGTAGTGGCCAGACAAAGCATTAGCCATAGACATAGTCCATTCAGAACTGCTGATAACGTCCACAGATTCTGACAGAAGCTGATGTTGTACATTAGTAGGAAACAGTTTGACAACACTTACGTGTAATATCATTTCTTCCCATGTTTCTTGTTGCCATGAGTCATCTTCGGAGTCGCTGATATATGCTTTTAGTTTTGGAATCTGCATCAAATAGACTCTAATTCGTGCCCAATGTTCTTAACACACGAACCTCGTCTTCCCATAGCAACTGGACAGCGGTTGGAAACAGCGAGGACATGTTCAAAAGAGCCTACAAAGTACAAAGTTGTTGGCGAAACTAAGAAAACGTCAGAAGTCAGAAACAAAGGAAAGAAAAAAGACACCGTCAAAATTGATGCAGCAAGATGATTCCTCGCATGGGGATTCTGCAGAAGAACGATCAACCTTCCCAGCACTTCCTGCACTGGCTTGTTATCAGAGAAAGAAAAAGCCTCGACGGGAAACCTCTGGTCGTGGAACGTCGGGTTGCAATCTATAGTCGACAGAGACTGGTTCGCCTTTGCCATTTTTCCTCTTGATAATCTCGCAAATGCACTTGCAAAGCTAAGAAAGGAAGACTGTCGTCAACATATGTCTCAGGTTCTAGGAGGAAACTTACCGTGGCTATCGCTCCTGTAAAGCATGGCGGAATCAAGACTTTCAGTAGAAATGGCCACATAAGCTCCTGGACCAAAAATTCAGTATAGATCTTAGAAGTGAATGTATCTTCATACTTCCATATGAGGCGTTGTGCTTGCCAGCAAATATAAAATTTTATCGGACACAACCCGCAGCTCTGAAGGCGATACGAATCCAACTTTTAGACGAAGCTGGGACGTTAAGGGTTAGGAAGAAACTATATAAAAAGAAAAATCTTACGTGATTTTGATGAATTTCAGCATTTCGCGTGCCCAACGCTATTTCCAGGGCCTCCTGCTGTGAGTGCAGGATCTTTACCTCAGAATCAGTAATAGCTGACTGCTTAACTAAAAACTCTAAGAATATCCTGTCGTTATCTTGTTGCAAAAACCCAACAGCTGACATGATCGCAACGAGCTGAATGATAATAGAAGTGAAAACTACCTTGCAGAGTGCAAAATATAGGAAATATACCTCTGCCAAAGCTTTCCGCAAGTTCAAATTTGGCTCCTGCAGCGAGACCTTTACAGCCTCGAGTAGAGTGGAACGTTTACCATTCCAGCTTGTAGCAAGTCTAACAAAAACAATCACCGTTGAAATTATCATACTTGAATGAACAGCTAGCGCACCTAGGGAGTAAATGTTTGAGTATCAAAAAAACTCCAAGTGATGCTTCCATTTCTTTGGCATTCAAACGCTGCTTTTAAAAACACTTTATCAACCCAAACGAATGAGAATAAAAGCTCCAGCATCTCACAGAGAGTAGATAGTTGAAAAGGTCTTCCGGAAAGGCAGTTCCAATAATTACGAAGCAAGTAGCAACCTCGTTAAAATTCTGCAGAAAAGCGAGAATGTTACGATAAAGAAAAATTAAAGCTTTACCTTTAAAATTGCAGAGGCCTCTCCATTTCGTTCTTTACGAGAGTAGATAGAAGCCATAGGCAAAATCGTATTAAGAATAGATACAACAGCCTGAAAAACATATTAATACTGGTAACTGTTTCCTAAACACAAGAACCTGAAACTCTAGCATCGGCTGACCACTCGGTAAAACCACTTCCAAAAGCATGTGAAGAGCATGGGTAACTGGAAAACAATTACTGGAGTCTTTCTTGTACCTTAATGATAACAAAAGAGCCAGGGTGATGTACAAAGAGAAACTTTCAATGATGCTTACACTGATAAGATAGAAGGCACGAGCTTAGGCAACGCCGATTTTAACTGAATTTTATTTATGAGAGGGAACATTTGAGCCAAAGCTTCCACAGTAGCCAAAGAAACCTGATATGTTCCAGATTTATGTCAGTTAAGGAAAGAAACTGCACATACCTTTGCATCACGAGCCAAGAGCCATCTTCCCAGGAAAAGATCAAATGCAGAGTGTAAAAGAGCTCTGTAAATTACATTAAGTACACAAAAATGAGAAGATACTCCCGTAACTTACTGCATATCAGGACCAAGGTACGGAGCTGACGGATACTTTTCAACATACACGATCATCCCGGCACTCCAACACGCAAAAGCTGACAATGATTCATATCAGTCCATATGCTCAACGCAAAATTATATATCCTACCATCAGCAAACGTTTTTTTCTGCGCATCCTTAATTCCACCAAGAAGAGGTAAAACGCGAGAAAGCACGCCTTTCATATGAGGGACGAACTGGACAGCTTCAAACAAAGGCTTCCAACTAAATCCCATCACATAATGATAAGCTGAAGTTACCATCAATTGTCGAGAACTCGGCAAGAGCTTGAACCAATGCCAACACCGGCACCGAGCCTCCGACAAGTTGCAAAAATATTTCTTCCATAACCTGAAAACGAAGAAGCAGCAATACTAATAATGTAGGTAAAAAAGAAAGAAAGCGAGACTAAGCTTTACCAAGCTTGGCATTTGACAACAAACTGCAACCAGCAGACTCGATGCTGCGTGTTCCCAGCTTGAATCCAGATCCTGATAAAAGCTGTTAGTGCAAGAAGAAATCGAAAGGACAAAATGTACAGACCTTGCAGCTCGTCATCTCAGTGAAGGAGATTTTCACCATGGATTTTATCTTGTCTTCGCTTAGCTGCATCCTTTCCATGTCGCGGATTGTTCTCGCCATTACGTTCAAGACACTTGATCGATGAACTGCTACTTGTCCTCCACGCTGATCAAGCGAGAGAAAAAATAGAAAAGAAGGTGAGGATGCAAAAGAAAAATGCGCACAAAGAGTTGATTACCCGTTTAACAGTTCTCAAGCTCGTGAGGCAGCAATCCAAAATCACATGAGCGCTTCTGTGCAAGCCGAAATAAGAATTGGAGAGAAAATCCTCAATCTCACCCTCTAGCATCCTTGCAAAGTGATATCGTCGCGGCTTCCCTGACCGCGTCCGAGGAATCAGACAGCGCTCCAACCAGTGCTCGAATGACGACTAACGAAGAGAATAGAACCGAGATCAGGGAGATTGAGGCTAGATTTTCTTACCAGATTGATGAGAAGCCGGCTCCTCATCGCTCGCCATTGCCAAAGCGATCACTCTCGTCTAAACCCTACTCCCCCCATTCCACGTCATGCTGCCAGGTGGCCCACGCGTAATTGATCCATTTAAACCTTTTGCCCGCCTTCCAAAAGCCCTAGTTATCTTTCGAATTTGCCCTCGCCCTAGGATGAGCGCTTACGAGAAGGTACGCCAAGAGCGCATTCGAGCAAACAATGCGCGCCTTGCCGAGCTAGGGCTGCGCGATCTGGCCAGGGATATCGCCTCTCAAGCGCAGGCTCCAGCTCGAGAAGCGAAGCCGGCGAAGCCGAGCACATCGGCTGGGCCGGTAAGAAGGTCGGATAGATTGCGGGCCATCAAGAGCAACAAGAATGAGGAGGTCTCTGATGAGAGTGACGAGGAGATGATTGTCACACGGGAGATTCGTGACGAGGAGGAGGATTACGTTCCCCCAGCTGATGAAGAGCATGTTTCCGAGGACAGCAGTGATGATGAGCATATGAGTGAGGACGAAGAGTCTAATCAACCAAAGGTATGATATGAGTTCCTTTTTCTTCTTTGTTTAAACTGCGGCTACGTATGGGACAGACCGAAGAGCTTGTGAATTCCCATTTGGATTTCAAGCAGGACGAGGACTTCGATCTTCAAGAGGTTTGTACGTTTGTTTTCTCATGGAAAGAGAGAGTCATTAAATTTTTTGGAGGCTGTAGGCTATTGCTCTGTCTCTTGAGGAGGTACATGACGGAAGCTTAATCGACAGTAGAACTAAAGCTGTGAAGAAGTCAGTAAAAGAAGATTCAAAGCGCAGGAAAAAACCGGTAAGAAGATAGCATTTAAACCTGTGCTCATTACGTGCTTCTTACATGTTGCTTTCAGGCTGCAAGAGGCTCGTTTCACCTGTCCACAAAGGATATCGACATTCTTTATCACGCAATCGTTCGTAAGTGGTAGTGTGCCTTTCTTACTTGTCACCTAAAGTTTTTAACTCTTCAGAAGGTAGAAGGGGCCTTTCGCTGCGAGAATTGCAACAAGCAGCGTCTGCACATAACTTCACTTGGACAAAGCAGGAACTGCAAGACATGATTAGAATTTTTGACACCGACCAAGATGGCATGGTAAGCTTATGGAAGCTTCTATCTCTGTTTTCTGAGTACGCCAGTTTTTGCAGCTCAATCTTGACGAGTTTCTAAACATGTCGACGCGTTGCCATATTCTCGAAGATTGACATGCGAAGCGGCGAATTAATAGAGACCTACGCCGCCAAGACATAGTCTCACGGGTTAGTTGCCGACTAACCCCTTTCAAACTATGTTATGGCATGCACTCAAAAACAGTGCTTGCAGGTGTGAATGGGTCTTCCGCTAGTACAGCGGCCTACAGTGGACATGCATGAATGGAACTGGGAAGTGGCTCTCTGGCAGTAACAGACGGTTGCTTTTTGGTCACAAGAATCATAATGGGATATTTGCTACGCGTAAATACTGGCACGCAGTCTGGAAGTCATTGCAGCACCATTCCTTTTTTCGCTGTTGCTTGAGCCAGGCTTTCAGGAATTTTTATCTACATTCGCTCGGCCGGGCCGGGGTTTACACATTTGCTGGCTGTTCCGCTCTGAGATATCTTTGTCCGAAGGAGTGCAACATCAGCAGCCACCCGTGATGCCTGATCCCGTGTGACGCTGAAAGGCCTTGGAAGTTTGCAGATAAAAATTGGCAGCAGGCTGGCTCTCTGGCTGCGGGGCTATGAAAACGGTCTTACAGTACAGCAGGGATTGAGGATAGGGACTCAAGAGCCCCGGAGACAATGAAGCAGCTTCTCTATATAATCTCCCTGCCTTGAAATCAGTGGCTGCAAAGGGCAATCACTTCGTTCTTCAATGAAGAGTAGGAGCCGAAGAGCTGCTTGGTGGGTGGCTACCTTGGGTTTACTCGTCAAACTCGTGTACCTCCTCGACCAGGTGACTGCGGCACCATACGCTCACGAAGTCTTCAACAACAAGAATGGACTCTGCTCGACTTTTGTTCACCCGTACAACTATGGTTGCAGGGAGTTCTCGGTCTGTAGAGCTTACGCTCTTTTGCTTTCTTTTTCTGCGAACTAACTTCCTTCTGAACAGGTTCCAACACAAGATGGGTTTTTGCTTGGTGTCCAACGATTGTATGGTCCAAACAGATCCAAGGGTCCTGTGTTCCTCTACCATGGGATCATGCAGGTGTGCTTTCTAAATTCTTGGGCGTTTTCTTTACCGTTGCTTGGTTGAGCAGGGAGGGGACATCTGGGTGATCAATCAGCCGAGAGATTCGCTGGCATTTCAGCTCGCAGACGCTGGCTACGATGTCTTCCTTGGAAACACTCGAACTTCCAATTTCAGCTATGGCCATGCCACTTTGTCCCGCTCAGACGATGTATGCACAATTTCTGGTTCATCCGTTTCATTTGCCAACTTTAACAACTGGTTTTCTGCAGGATTTCTGGGATTGGAGCTGGGACAATCTTGTTGAGCAGGACTTGCCGACTATGCTGCGCTTCGTCCACAGTCAAACTAATCAGCGAACAATGTATGTCGGATTCTCACAGGTAAGACTGTCTTATAGAGGCAAATGATTCTTATTCTCGTCTTCTGGTTTGCAACAGGGCACCATGACAGCTTTTGCTGCTTTCGCGCACAGTGATGTCTCGGGACTTGTAAAGAAGGCTGCAATGCTCGGTCCTGTTGCATATCTGGAGAATGTGGATGCACCAATGCTCTCCATTGCGTCTAATATGTATCTGGACAGGGTTCGTCTCTCTTTCTCTATATCTTTCTTAGCCAGTGTGCTAAATTTTCCTGGCTCAGATTCTTCTTGTTGCCGGAGTCTATGAGTTCCGCGTTGAAAAGTACGTGCTTTTTCCATACTCGGTCCATGGACTAACTGAAATATAATCAATGCGCAGCTCTGGAGGCCGGCGAGTGATCAACACCGTTTGCAGGTCCCAACGTATGCAGCATGTGGACTGCTTTGACAACTTGCTGGACATGGTCACTGGTAAACAAAGCATTTTCCTTCTCTTTCTTTTTTTGTTGGTATTTTCAGTTCATCTAAGAATGCATGTCTTCAAGGTCCGAATTGCTGCATAAACACGACGAGGAGGCCCTTTTACAATCGCTACGAGATGCAAGCAACTTCAATGAAGAACGTGGCACACATGGCGCAGCGTAAGTGTCTCGCATGGAGTAGTATTTCTACATTCATGGTGTTCTTCTCTTCTACAGTGGTGCGCTCAGGAGAGTTCCAAAAGTATGATCACGGATATGTTGGAAACCTCCTCCATTATGGCAGCTTGGATCCACCGTCGTACTCCCTTTCAGCATTTCCCAGGACCGTCCCACTCCTACTCATTCGCGGCGAGAAAGACGAGCTTGCTGACAAGGACGACGTCGCCCGGCTCGTCAAAGAGCTCCCATCCGCGACTCAACTCGTCGTGGTTCCTCGCTACGCGCACGGAGACGTGATGCTCGGGGTGGACGCCACTGCGCTGGTATACAGGAAGGTGATCGACTTCTTCGCAAAGTAGGAAATTATCATCCCCATTTGATCTCTTTGCGAAGTACTCTCAAAAGTTCTAACCAAGAAAAAACGCTTCTTTTTAGCTACCAAAATTCGTGCTCGTCCCTCATCTAGATTTACATCTCTCGAGAAAAGCTAGAGAAAGAATTCAAGTAGCCTGTGGGATGTTTATGGGACCACTTCGAGTCTCGGGCTCCAGCATTCGCTGGGCTCTCTTCTTCGCACAGTGCTGCCGATCGAAATGCCTCACCTGATTGATACCAACAAAGCTCCGATCACGCAAAGAGAAACAAAAGAAACGCCAGGAAAGAAGAGAGAGAAATAATACCCAAGTCGATCTACACATCTTCTCGAATTGCGCCCGGCTGTGCTTGCAATCCGACGGATAGAGCAGCCCCACCGTCCCACTCTCCGTCGCAGCGCCCTTGGAGCTCTCCACGCATTGGAAGAACGCGTCGCGTGCCTAGAATAATCCCCTCCGCATAAACCCTAAACCCCACACCCACAACCACAACCGTCTACCTTGTAGCAAGCCGATCTGCCCGCCGCTAGCACCTTGGCGTCCACGTCCCCGCTCGCCGCGCTTCCCATCAAGCTTCCTCACAACTCCATCCCCTCTGTTTCAAGGGCTCTTTGTTTTTTAGGGTTCTTCGCTGGAAGGCGGATATTCCTAGAATATTTATCTCCTCAATGGCTAGCACAGCCAGCAAAGACATTGGAATTGGCCTTGGTGTGATAGGCGAAGTTGGCGATGGGCGTGAGAGCCCCGACTCTCTCCCCGTTGCGCAGCATCTCCTCCACGTCCAGCTTCTCCAGCGTCAGCACCGCCCTCGACTCGCTCCACACGAACGCGAGCATCCCACTCCGGTGCACGAACAGCGCCCCGGGCTTGGAGCTCGGGTACCGGAAGCCATACCCGTTGGAGATTCCCTCGCCCTGGTAGCACTCCATCGTCTCCACGACGCTCCCATCCCGGTAGCTCTCCCACGGGAACCTCTCCGGCGATGGCTCCTCCACTCTCGCAGTGAACATCGCCGATCCATTCGGATGAAGAACGTAGTGAGTCCCCTCCAGGATCTTGGTCGCGATCAGCAGCCTTCCTCCTCCACCACCATCTCTCTCGCGATCGCCCTCGTCGTCGTACGAGAGCAGCAGGAAGAAGAGTGGCTTCCCGGGCTTGCTCTCCCCGTCCGGCCGCCCCGGCGGCCATCCGAAAGTCCCGCCCCACAGGCCGGCAAGCTCGCGGCCCTCCACAGCCTTCTGCTCGGGGAGCTTGTAGAGCGCGAACCGGTTCTCGCAGATGATCGGCCAGGCCCGGTAGAGCGTCAACTTCAAGCTCGCCGCCTCGAGCCGGAGCCCAACCCCGGCGCCCTGCCGGAGGTACTCCCGCAGCGTCAATCGCCTGCTCGGTGCTGCCCCCGGTGACGCCACCTCCGTCCTGTTCTTCCTCTTCCCCTCCTGCGCCGCCAGCTTACTCCGCAGGACGATCTGCCTAATCTTCGCCTTAAGAAAGCCCGCAAAACCGGATCTTTTCGAAGCCGGCGTCGTTGCAGCGATCGTAGAAGTGGCAGCATTGGCAGTGGCAGCAGCAGGCCTGTCCTCGCTAGCGTACGAGCTTCCCAACTTCCCAGACAAACATTCCGAGTCCACAATCCTGTGGTGGTGGCAGTGGCAAGACGAAGGCGTCTTCGCTTCTCCACCTCCCCGACCGGTTTCTGTGCTGCGGGGGTCCCCATGCACGTACATCCACAGCAGCAATGCGTGCCTCTCGGTCATCGCCCTGAGCTCCTTCTTGGACGCCAAGCTCGGCCGGGAGATAAGCGGCCCCTGCGCCAGCGCCGGCATTTTGATCCGGATCTCCGCCACCACCATCTCCAGCAGCCGCCTCCGGTCGCCGAAGCTCAGCCTCCCGAAGCAGATCCCCTCGTCCTCCTCCGACGGCCTCCTCGCGCTGAATCTCCTGCCGGAGCAATCGTCGTCGCTGCTGCAGGTGCTCTCTACCGCGACACCGGCCAGAGTGCTGTCCGGGCTGCCACTCGGGCTCCTCCTCCCCCCCTCGGCCTCCAGGAAGGACTCGACCTCCAGCATCAAAACGTTGCAGCCTTCTCTCGCCGGCTCCACTCGCCCCGGGTAGCACCAGTCCTCCTTGTCCCTGCCGTGGAGGAAGAAGGCCAGCGATCCATCGGGAGCTCCAATCACCTCGAACACTGGCGCCCAGAGAAGGCCGCGCTTCATCCCCCGCGGGCCGAGCTCCTGGGGGATGATCCGGCAGCCGATGATGGAGAGGAATCCCCAGGTCACGTACACCAAGTTGCCGAGCTCTGGGTTTTGGTGCACCCAGATGCCGAGGAGGGGCCTCACTCCAACCAGGAAGCGATAGAGCGCCCGGTGTGACTCCATCCCGCTCCTCCAGGCATTCAAGTCGATGGATTCGCCCTCGGCCAGGCGCTGGCACTGCGGGAGCCAGAGCTTGTCCGACGAGCACGCGCTTCGAAGCTTGCGGCAAGTGGCGCTGAGGATGCAGAGATCCCTGTGGCCGACCCGGCTTGTGATCAATCCGAGGAGGTCAAGCGGGAGATCGGGCAGAGCGCTCGGAATTCCGCCGAAATCTTCCATCGGATAGCCCAGCGAGAGAATCGAAAAGAAAAAAGAACCTGGCCCGCGCTGCCTCAGCTCTGATCGATGGCACGAAAAAGATGAATCAGCGAAGAAATTTCCTAGAAATCACGCTCACCTTTCGCATTGGACCGGCTCTCCCTGGAGCTGGAAGAAAGGCGGCCGATCTTTTAGGTCAGACTACCTCCATTTGCGCCGGCAAAGCGCCTGGCGACCGAGAGCGAGCGATCGATCAATCATCCATCGATTGATCGACAGATGCCCCGCCAGGACCGCGTACGCAAGGAAGAAAAAGAGCTCGCAGCCAAATAACCTAAACGAAAAATCGGGCGCCACGCACTAAAGACGCGATGGATAATTAAGGAAAACGTTTAAAACGCTAAACTCTTTGACCGTTGACGAGGATTCTTGAGACTACCAACGCCCCAGATTTGCAATATCCAACGGCTGCCAAAGATTCGGCAAAGATTCCCGTGTCCAACGAAAAGAATAAAGGAGCCTTAGAAAGCGTAGAAAGTCGTCGTGAGAGAGCACAACAAGGCACGTACAAAAGGTGGCCCCGTCCTTTAGATTTGCTGTCACGTTTCACTTCAACTTCACTAGCCAGAACTATTGAATTTTTCCAGTCTTGCTAACCACTAGGCAAATGTTTCTCGTGAGCCGAAGCTGTGCTGGATCACGATGGAAACATCACGTAACACAGTGATTGATATTGATTTCTCTTGTTGTTGTTGACCGAGCGAAGAGGATTTTTTCATCCCAAATTCTTTAGTTTTGCAAAGATCGATCCCAACTCTCCAAGCAATAATAATATACTTCGATAGAGTTTTCAACGATCTCGAAGCTGGAATCTGGATGGATGGGCGCTGGGGTCCGCAAGTTATCTACCTGGACTCGAGCCACAGTTTAGTACCGAGTTTTAAGAACGAGGCAGAATGTACTACCGAGCAAAATCAAGCAACCTGTAATGCTTTCCGGTGCATGTTCTTGATTTATGTTATGATGGCGATGGACGATATGAGGTAGCCGACGAGTTGCACTCCTCCACTCTCCACTCGTCCAATTTTTTCCTGCTTTGAGACTTACATGATGGACTGGTTTGTGAGGAGCTTTCCATCGTGACGTGTGCTGGGCATCAGCGTTTGGTACTTTTGGACGTGCGGCTTTGGAACAAGGAAGCTGCACCACACGAAAAGAGCTCCTAAGAATTGGAAATATGAAGTTTAGAGTCGCAAACCTTTTAGTGCAACAACTGAGTTTTTATCGATGTCTCAGTATTGCAAACAGGTCCTCTGAAGCTCGAGTAGGATCGGGAGCTTTGAAGCTGAAATGCTGAACATTCTTGGGATTATCGTCAGCACTTATTTTGAGTTGTCCCTTGAGGAAGGAAGGAGTATCCAGATCACATCTGTTAAGCAGTTGATAAGTTACAGATCATTCAACCAAGATCCTGCTCACCTCTTAAAGGATAAATTCCTTTTCTTAGAACTCTTAGACAACCACATTGGAAATCTTAGTTTGTGATCCGCCTGTGACGCGCATCACGAGGCATGTTAGCGTCGTGAGGAAAACCGCACAAGCACCGCTTACAGTCGTGTCGAAGGATTGTCTTGTTCCTTGCAAAATGGATGAGCTGTAAAGCAGCAGTCATTATAAAAACTTCTATGAAACACGGCAGTTTACCAGGTAAGAACCAAAATCATCGAGAAAAGCTCCGACAGCTCCCGTCTGCCACGGCAAATGCTTTTGTCCATCACGTCTCCATCGCACAAGTAATCTGAAGCTTTCGAAAAGGCATTCAGGATGGATGCTCCTCTGCAAGGTTTGTAATTAAGATAGTTTTCCTGTTTGCACAGTTGCGTCAGGACAACCAGGACAGAAGTAGCCACACCTGATGATACTCATACCTGAACAAGAAGGAATATAAAACCAACATCTTGAAGAACCATGTTCACGCGAGCTTCTATTGTGTATGAAGTTTTGGCTCCTCTTCCTTCACCCGCTTCGGCACAAAAACTGTAAATCCACTGATCGGTAAACTTTCCGATAGAATTTTCAAAACTGACCTGTCCATAATCCCAAAAGAACCCAAGCAAGCATCTCTAACATCCACTCCTGAGTTCAGAGAATACCCTGCACATGCATACTGCAAAAAAATGTAAGAACTCGATCTGACACACCGGTTCATACCTGCATTTGAATCAAAACATGGCGAACGTCGCGATGTGCGCTGTCTACAAGCGAGCTTAAAAATAACTAACCACCGTTTTCTTTTCAGATCAGGAACACATTAGCGACAGGAAACTACCTTGTCCACACGTAAACACTCTTTTTCTTGGACTTGAATGAGGAGTTTTAAGATCTGCAACAAAAGCAAAGATAAGTTTCTAAACAGAAAGGAAAACGCACCTCACTTCTACTGGGTTTCTGGAACTTCAGCACTGAGCAATATTCCATGAGCCTGCGAAGCCTCTTGTCGTAAATGTCATTACAGATGCACATAATCGGAAGCCGTCCCTGTTGTAAAAGGCTAAGCACCGCCTGAATCGCTGTCTCGTCGATGTTGTCTATCTCATCGAATATAAGGACAACCTTCTTACTTAGTCCAAGATTTGTTGTTAGACACTGATTGTCAGCTCGTATGTTCCAGGTCTTTCTATGTACAGCCTACAAGTACAAGGAGTTAGCTAAGAGCTCATAAATTTTTTGATGTTCAAGTATACCATCACAGGGCTAAACTCCAGTTCCTCGCAAACAGCAACAGCAGCAGATGTCTTTCCTACACCAGATGGCCCACTGATTATAACAGCTCTTTTAACATTCTTTACTGATCTCGTCTTGGAAGCAAAGTTTTCTTCCCATGTTTGTAACCAAGTATGCAAACGCGTGATCTGCCAGACAACAAAGAACTTAAGCTAGAATAAAAAATCGAGACTCACAAGCACTTGGTTCCCCACAATGTCACTTCTCGTTCTCGGCCGATACTTGTGTGTCCACAAGCTAGATTCAGCACATAAGGATCTCTCCGTGCTTTCCCCGGCTTGAAAAACCGCCTTTTGCCTCTTTGGAGGAGGATACAGCCTGGGCTCCAAGGAGAAACGCTGCTTTACAGTTACCTCCCTCGCACAGCACGCCTCAAAGCTTGGAAGCATCAACTAAATGAATACGAACGATGTTAATCTCGATCCATCCAACTTAAATTTCATACCTGAGGTAGCTGCTGCTGTGACTTCGCAAAAAATCGAGAAATCTTCGTGTAATCTGACCTGCGCTCGTCAGCGCCATCACGCCGTGCTCCATCCAGCCGCCAGAAAGCCGCGCCTTGCATCCGGAAAAGACCATAAACCCTAGATAGAGGTTTGAGCGGGAAATTTAAAACTATGGAGATTCCGACAAGCCCTAGCTGACGTGTCAGATTAAATGGCAATGGCTGTGGCGCTCATACCGCTTCCTCCGCGAGCTTCTCTCTCCGTCCACCAGGAATGCGGCGGCGCCAAGGGCCTAGGGTTTGGCATTCGCGTAGCTTCTTCTTCGCGGCCGAGGCTGCTCTTGCGGCCGCCCAACGGGCAGCTCGGATTCTACGTCGAGCCCGACATCGATGAGGATGAGGTGTGGGATCCGGCCAAGACCAAGGGTGACGACGAGGTATGGGACTTTCCTCGTTTTCTTCTGGGAAAGATGTGAGATTTTCGTATGAATGGGCAGCTGGATTCTTTTCCTTGGGGAATTGCCGATGGCGCTCATTCGTGGCATGGAAACGAAGACGACAGTATGTAATTTTTCTTACTTGCTTGAAAGTAACCTTGTGTAGGCTAGCAGGACCATATTGGGAGATTGTAGCTGAGACGATTGAAAAAGCTGGAGGTCCTACGTCAGGACTCCAAAGTGAGCTCTTGGTTTTTCTTTTCTTTCTTCCTCTTTCCTATCGTAATTTTTTGTTTTGTTAGAATGGATATCATGGAGTTTTCTGCCCATTCTCTTCACCGGCATGGCATTCGGAGCGCCTGTAATCTTCTCCTTATCTTTATTCTTTTGTTTTTGTTTTCTTTCTTGTCTGTATGGTCTGACCTTCGCTTCCAGGCAACTTATCTATTTCTCTACACCGTGCTTTTTATATTCGCGTTTATCGGTATTGAGATGGATAAACCAGACCAGCCTCATAATTTTGATCCGGAGACATACCTTGAGATGATGGCCGAGCGAGACAAAGCTAAAATGCTGGAGCTCGGTCCGGGAAATGATATGTAACTGTTTTTTTGAGTCGACTGTTACATGTACAGGCAAAGATAAGAAAGGATCGATTCTTGTACGGGCTGCGCTTTCTTATGTTGATACTCAAGCTTTGTATGCAGGAAATCCTTTTCAGCTCGAGCTGCTAGAGGTAATCAAACTTTTAGAAGGAAGCATCGTTCTCATATGGATTGCAGGCTTTCTTTGTAACCAAGTGAGAAAGCAAGCGAGAGCTTGGTCTGGAACAAAGTCGGCATAAGAGCGTAAGCTTATGCGGATAAAGCTGCTGGTTTCTGCTCAAGGTGTCTCTTACTTTTATATACTGGAAAAACGAGTTTTGAATAATCATGCTGGATCGCTGCTGGAACTCCAGACAGAAGCTGCAATTAAAGGTCTGGATTTCCAGCAAAGTAACATCGTATCTTCATCTTCTTGAATTTGATGCCCGTCTTGAAACAGTCCAACGAGGAGCCTTGCCTGGCAACGATTATAAGAGCTGAAAGAACGCTGCTGGAAGCCGACGGCTTCGGCAAGGCCCGACCATCTGTTCTTCACCATCTTGCCGGAGAAGTCTACGTGACTCACAGCTTCTTTTTCCAAAGGAGATCGACTCACGGCCGAAGTGACCGTGTTCTTAATCCGGGGTCCCAAAAAGACACGCTCGACCAGAGAACGCATTTCATCTTCCGATGCCAGCGTTGCTTCCAGGGAATCGAAGAGGGTGGAGTAGTGGTACAGGGCCTCGTGGAAACGTCCCGTGAACGTCGTCGACGTGCAGCTGAGATCTTCCTCGACTATCGCCAGGACTCTTGGCCGGAGGGCCGCCATCTTCCCGAGAAAGAAACGGACAGCATCCCGGGAGTGACATGACATGTGTGGGAGATGGAGCATGCAGTTGACAACGAGTGCCTCTCCTTGTATGAGCTTGAGGGACGAGCTGAGGAACTCCTCAGATTCTCCATCAACTCGGACTTGGTTGAAAACGAAGGGAACGTTGAATTGTCGAGCACAAGCAGCCAGCCTCTTCCCAGTTTCCTGGGTTGTGGAGAGGGCCCCCTTGGAGTTCGGCCGGTAGAGAGCAGTGATCTTGAGTTGCGGAGGACCTCCAGCTCTCAAAGCCAGCGATTGCATCAGCGAAGGCCACTGGACCCCGTCCGTTATATCAAAGTCAAAAATGTGGACTCTCTGCTCTCCGGCCACGGATTCGAGGATGGCCTGGTTTGCTGAGAAGTGGCCAAACTTGATGTAGGGGCAGATCTCGTGCAGGACATGGAAAGCTCCGACAGTGTCGAACTGAGACTCGGTCCGGCTGAAGAACTTCAGCCCGTGGAGCCTGCAATTGAGAGCATCGCGAAAGTAAGCCGCAATTCTTTGCATTGTTGTTCCTGACTGAGTGGAGCAGCAGCTTTTCAGGCGGTCAATTATGGCTATGGCGAGATCAGTCTCACCACAGACGGTGGCTTCGGCAGCTCCCAGCAACAGATGGACGAGACGGATGCTGTCCATGTCTTCGTCCCAGGGATGCACTTGCACTCCAAGTTCCGGGTAGACAAAGTCCACTCTTTCATCGTGGGAGTGGTGCCTAAAGTCGACTAAACTCCTCTCGATCTCTTGCTGCTGCTGATACTGTGGAGGAGAAACTGGATTGACGGCAACCTGCTGGGGATCCGGGAAAGACCTTTCATGGTCATCGAGCATAGCCTTCATCAATCTTCTGAGATCGTCGTCCTCACAAGTTGCTGAAGACTGGACGAACTCACCACTGTAGTCGGGCGAGACAGTATCCTCGGAGTTCCGGCTATCATCGAAGGACGAAGGTGAATGGCTCTCAAAGCTCCATCTCTCTACCAAAACAGGAATGTCAGCGATAGAAGTATCCATAGGGACATCCTCGACTGGAGAACCAAAGCAATTCGGGGAGAAGCTACTATTTAGACGACCAAAGCTGGTATCGAGCAGCATTTGAAGGGAGGAGAGGGGACACTCAAAACTTTTCAGGTAAGTTTGTTGGTTTCCTAGGAGCTTGGAGTACAAAGTTTTTATATTAACCCATCCCTTCCCAATCTCCAGGACGCAAGGAGGCCACAGCTTTTACGGTGGGATCTCCACGTGGTGTTCTTCTACAAACTTTCAACACCACTGTGGGCGACGGCAGCGCAGGAATTAAGGTGTGCTGCCATGCAGCACTTCGATAAGAAAGAGAGGTGACGATTTCCACTCTGTTCTTGGAAGAGCCACTTGCGTTGATTTTCTCTTTGATCTGGTTTCTAGATTTTCATTTCGTGCTCGTCACAGGCATCTCAGATGTTGCTATCAAGCTTTGTCTGATTGGAACATGTCACGTAAACATTCTCGCGGAGTCTGGATGCTGCAAACGAAAGCATGAAAAAGCCTCCCGAACAATTTAGTATCAAATATGTTCTCTTAAGGCGTGGACCTTACTACTTGACAATTCCGGAATCTCAGGCGCTACATCGGAAACCTTTTGTATAAGCCCTAAAAGAATATCCACGATTGGTTCGACAGTACGTGCTCATAAATGGATTATTTAATGTAAGAGAACCAAATTGCTCAAAGGCTATTACTTGAAAGCTAGGCTCTAGAGGTACTTGGCTCACATTATTTATTAATGTCTATCTAGACGAGTAAAGACCGACCGATTAGATGGAAGTAAGCTGGTAGTAGCCATCTGGAGTAATACCTGAGTGAGAGAAGGAAGGATTCATCGAAAAAGAAGCAAGGAATATCATTGACAAACGTCTTTGTTTGGAGTCCACAAACTCGACCATGAGGAGCTGAAACGAAAGAAATGATATGATGATCTTGGGGTCCTGGAAAAAGGCTTGACGAAAGCTGGAAGCATTCGATCGCCGCAGCTGCGTTCTAGATGTAAATGCATGGACTTTTCGACGAACTTGTAGATCCAAATGCCTTACCTTCGCATAGTTTTATCCTCCAAACAAGCAAGAAGAACACCAAGTAGCAAAGACAAGTAGCAAAGGAGAAACAGAAAAACTGAGGAAGAAAGAAAACAAGGAACCTGGAGACCAGCAGCGATCTTGAAGAGGTTTTTTTCCAAGGATGTGATATTGGCGCGGCTCAATTTGAGAGCGCTGGCTGAGCATTGCAGCGAACGCCATCTGATTGAGCCATCCCAATATCACATACCTCGCATATATTTCCCTGGACGATCGACGACGAATATCAAATCGTTAGTGGAGTCCCGAGTGGAGCTAGCTCACGAGAAAACCAAAAGCACGCGAGAGTTCGAGAAAGAAAGGAATAGTAAAAATGACGATCTGGAGATCCAGTCCGAAGATCTCAATCGATAAGCGGTGCCTGCAGCGATTTATAGCGTCAGTTAGGAGAGAAAAGGCAAGATATACTTGCAGTAGCAGTGCAGTGATAGCATGCCGGGAAGAAACAAAACCACGCCAAGATTCTCACAGATCTCTCTCTCTCTCTCTCTCTCTCTCAAACGGATCTCTCCAACCCGACCCGGCAAGAACAACAGTGGCACAAGAATATACACTAGCAGCAGCAGCGAAGAACCGAAACCTCCAGCGGTTACAAAGCCGAAGCTTGTTTGATCCGATCCATCCCTGCTGCTGTGCCACTGTTTCTACCGATGATCGATCGATCGGCCGGCTCTCACCTCTCTCGCCACCACCACCATCACCACCACAAAGATTTTAAACCGTGGCAATAAAGTCCCACACTCTCTAACGCTCTATTTATAATCAGGTCCGGTCCCCTCTCACCACACCACACCAGCGAGGAGGAGCGAAGAGTGACTCTAGTGTCGCAGCAGTGGAAAAGAAAAATGGTGAAAGAAAGAAGAAATCCGGATGTGTGCCTCAAAAGTCAAGGCTTTGCATGGCATGGCACTTCAGCCACCTTGAATGCTTTGAAAGAAACGTGGTGACTCTTCCAAGCATTGTTCTCATTTAATACTTCCACTCCAGCAGGAAAATAAGAGCTAGGAGATCTCAGCTTTGACTCTCTCACACTCTCTTCCTCTCGAGCATCTGCAAATGCCCGAGAGTGGAAGTAAAACAAAGGAACTCGGGTAAAAGAGAAAGGAAGATAAAGATCTACGATGAGGAGGGAGGTCTCCCTGCTGTCGAGCTGCAGGAGTGGCCAGGAGGAGGCAATTCAATGCATACATTTTTTCAAACTCAATCAATCTTCATTCATGGGGAGCAAGGACTCGGCCCAAGAGCATTTGAGCAGGAAGGAAGAGAATAGAGGAAAAAAGAAAACCAAAAAAGGAAGAAGAAGAGAGTCACAAGACGAAGAACAAGTCACTCGATCGATGCATGAGGGAATGGAAGAGAAAGTCGAGCTCCGGTCGGGAAGGAAGAGGAAAGAAAGGAAGAGAGAAAGAAAGAGATGGAAACTGTAGCTATCACAAGAAATTTGATCCTCCCCCTGGCAGTGATTAGTAACTAAGATCTCTATGCTGCCTCCTGTAAGGTCTTTGAGAAACAAATGGTGACATATGACTTGCCACCTATATAAACAAAAATACCGAAAAAAAAAAAGAAAGGAAAATCCCAAGAAAATTGCTAAATAGTAACAATGAACAGCCAGGGAGCCAAGTAATGCCACACAACTCACAACTTCCCTGTGCAACTGTACTAAATGCTCTAGTGCAGGACAACCAGGAGGCATTTGCAGCAGCAGCCAGCCAATGCACAAGAATTTGTCATTTTGGCAAAAATAAAAGTGAAAAACTGGCCTCTAAAGTCAACTGTAGTGTGAAGTGAAGAAGAGAGTGAAGGAGGGTATATGTGTGTGGATCTATCATCTTGTATAGCTCTCAGTGACAGTACGAGGCAGACCAACAAGAACACACCCTCCCCAAGAGTACTGCGTGTGTATATTTGTACGCCTTTCATTTTCGGCATAGGTACAAGGATAGACCAGCAGGAGCAGCAGAAGCAGAAGCCAGAGAAAAAAAAGGAGAAAGAAAAAGGAAAGGCGGCATTCGGAAGTTAATTCCCACACGACTACACAATGAAAACCTGTGCTCAGTACACAAGAAATACTAGGCAGGAAACGATGCGAAAATGAGCAAAGCGTGAGCATCTGCCGCTGCTGCTGCGACTGTTTTGCCGCTGCTGTGCCTCACAAACACAAACAAACTATTTGTTTGTTCCTGTTAGAGCGCGCACAGTGACTCTCTCTCAATTGCTCTCACGCTCACACGCTCAGCAACAGTCGTCCAGAGAGGTGGAATTCAATGCAATTGTGCAGTGGTGAAAGCACTCGCTCTTAACACAACACACACACACACATACATTCACACTCTTTGTGATGAGGTTTTGGCAAGCTCTCTCTGCCGCTATCACCCAACAAAAGAAAAAGGACTGGTGTGGTAATGATATGAAGAAAGAAGCCGTTTGCAGTGGAAAGATGCGTGCTTCCGGCCTGAATTCCTGCTGCTGGCTCGAATAGAGGCCTTGGCTACAAAGAGGCTTGAGGCAAATTGTATGACAAAGGTTTGTGTGAAGCTTGTGTGTGTGCTTCTGTTGCAAACGGGGGAGCACAAACGGGGGGTGACAAGGACTTTGCACTGTCCAGAGCGGGGCGATGACGACTGTTTGGATGCATTGGATTGGATTAGAGTATCATCACTCTCGTGGACAAGGAAAACAACTGTACCCACACACACACACAAGTCTAGACTGGCAGTGAGTGATTGATGAGATGATATGCTTCTCACTAGACGATTGCTCGTTTTCGCTCGCTTGAAGCTTACGGGAGTGGTGTAGAGTTAATGGTCGGGGAAAAACATGCTGGGATTCTGTCAAGTGAAGAGCAGGCAAGAAGAACCACTCGAGCTTGTGATCAGCAATTATGCAGGAAGAGAGAGGAAGGAAAGAAAGAAAGAAAGCGCAAGCAGGCAATCGCCATCGCGGTACCAAAGAGGAGGGACTGTGAGAGAATTAACCTGTTACCTTTAAGTGATCGCCAAGAGGATCTGATATGCGATCTTTCGTCCATTTTAAAAATGGAGAAAAGGAAAAATTTCACCTTGTTCTTTCCTTGCTGACGTCCTTGTTGCGAGCATCCATTGTCAAGACCTACACATTCCGCACATATGCCTGTGTGAGAAGGAAAGAAAGAAAGAAAAACAAGCAAACAAACAAAAACACGAAGAAAGAGCAAAGAAAACGATCGATATGAATGCGCCTGCTCGATTGAGATGGGAGAAATTTGCATCGCGCCATACCAATCAGCAACCAGCTTGCAGTGACAGCAACACACAAATTCAAGATCCAAATTCAATGCAATGAGATTAGAAAAAATTGCCCGTTCCTCCAAGAGCGACCCGAAAGAGAGAGAGCCAAAATCAAAACCATGAAAATCCAACAAAATCAGGACCTATATATGCATACACACATTATGAGGCGCAAATTCAAAGACTTTCACAAGAACCCAAGATCTGGAGACACCGAAAGCACAAGAATTCCCCCACCACCCAGACAATTACTTACAATTCGCTGCCTGCCCAAGCAACAAAGAAAGGATGAAACCAGCATAATGACTAGCTACCCATGCGAATATTCCCCTGCAAGCTTTCACAGACACCCATGTTGGCAAAGGCATCCGGGCTGCATTCATTCCCACCAAAAAATCCACACCCTTTGTTCTACACACAAAAAGGATGGAAACAAAAGCCTCACCTATATATGTGTGATCATAGACTTTCTTGCACTTGGGAGGGGGTGATTTGAATGGATTTTGCTTTATCTTACATCTATGGTACCTTGTTCCATAATAACACACCAATAGAAGGAGGAATTCAGTACTTCAGATTCAGAAAGAGGAAGAGGAATCTGGAAAGGAATCGATCAGCCCCTGTGTGGATTCAA